ATTTTTTTAAGATAGAAAATACTTGGTTTGTCAATTTCTACACTTTGTGTAACAAGCACTCCATGGGAGTTAAAACAGATTTTAGAAACCCACCCATTTATAAAATCCTTCAACTAAAGGATAAACAGAACAATAGTTTACTATTACAATAGTAAGATAAAAGATCAACCTCACTTTTAAGTGCTACACTTTCATATACCTACAATTTTAAATCAAAATTTATCACAGAAGTATCCTTCTGCCTCCTCTCAAATTTTTACAATTCAATGCCCCTAAACTAATGTCCTAATTATTGAAAATACTATTTTGTTCTACACAGAGGTGATAAAAGTTAAATATTAAGGATGTCTGCAATGTTATCAAAATTATAAGAGAAAAAGACTATGTTGTATGACTTATCACATAACACCTGACACACAAATTTACATTCAAAAGATTGTCACATAAAATTAAATTTAGAAAGTAGTTTTTAACTTGCATTTTAACAAGAGCTCATATCTTCTGTCAAGAAGTCAGACCAGACTTCCCTAATACTAAATTCCACATTCTAGTATGAAGAGTTGTCAAATACACAAACAATTCACTACACGGCCCCTCACCAGTCCACGAGAAAAAAAGCTTCTTTTTAAACATTGAATAATAATTATGACAGTATTAAGTGTAAAAAACCTCCGAACATTATTAGAAAAATTGCAGTCTTGTAGCAGTTTACATTTGAATGGCTGCTACTCCTCACCCCACATTTCATGAACTAAAATTAACTGTATCTGAACAAACAAGCATTTCAATTCTGACACACATTAAAAGCACAATAAAAATATAAATATTGTTCCACAATTGGCACACTATTTCAGTTCTTTACATGACAAGAAAACTTCAACTTACAATGTAGGGATATATATAGTGAATAAAATGAGATAGAGGGAGCTGTGTAGTGAGATAAAAAAAGATAAACCAAGCAAGAGCTTTAAGTCAAACAACACATGGGGGAAAGTCGGGGTAGGCACTACAATAGAAGATTGACCACCCTTTTGAAGAAAAAGCACATGTGAAATACAAAATGACAGTTACATCACAAGGCATCCAATAATACTATAACAAATGGCACATTGAAGAGAAATCAGCATAGAACAACTAAAAAACTGGCAACTGAGTTTGAGAACAAAATTGATATAGTCTACTTTAAATTACAATAACAACTATTAAGGAAAACAAGGAAGTGCCAGTTTCAAATTTGCTAAAATGCTACAGACAATGTCCAGGGGCAACAGAGAGTGAGGCAGTTCACTGTTACAATAATAACAGCTATAGCAAAAGGCAGCAGCACACACATACTTGCATAGCCCAATAAGGTACCTCCACAAATCTTAATATGATTGCAAGAGTATTCCATAAATTAAACATCATATCCCTTCAGAAACTCCTAACATTCATTTGAAAAATATTAAGCTTTGTGGAGGTACCCAAACAGTCACAAAATAAAATTAACACACCACAAAAGGCACATCTAGCAATTTTTTTTTTTCATTTAAAACTTCTAAAGGGATATCACATTCCCTCAATTTAATAGTCATAGGTCATAGATCATACATAAACGGGGCTCTGATTGTCGTTATCGTCCAAGGCCAACTTTTGTGGCCAGCCCCCTTCATCAAAAAACCGCCGGAACGTGAATTCAAAAAATCCATGAAACGGATTATTATCACTTTCTAATTGTTCGTCAGAATCATCAGATGAATCTGAGTTTCTTAATCTTTCAGGAGCCACTGGGTCAAAATTTGAAGTGTCCATAGAATGCTGAATCCGGGGTTGGTGCGGAGCCTTCTGCTTTCTTAGGCTCCCATCAAAGTTGATTGAAGAAAAGAACGAATGCTCCTTCACCTCATTTGCATTTTTACCTAGCCTTCTGTCAGGACTATTACACAGCTTTAATATTAAATCTGTGGCATCTGGAGAAAGGTTAGCTGCCTTGGGTATATGTAAGGTTGTCTCCCAGTGGATCACCTGTAGAACATGAATAAGATTAGTTATTGGATGGTAATCAAAGAACCCATACAGATGACCAGATGATACAGAGGATTGTATATTACCTTGTACTGTGTTTCACCGGGGGTATTGGCAAGGAAAGGTGGTGAACCGACTAGCATCTCATATAAAATTACTCCTACGCTCCACCAATCACACAGTTGGGTGTAACCTGTTCTCTGAAGAACTTCAGGCGCAATGTAGTTTGGAGTTCCCACTAACGAGTGAGCTAGACACCGTTGATGCTCACGCCTTCTTCTTCGTTCTAGAGGTTTCATTGGATTACATCTGCATTCTTTACCTAAGCTCCAGTCATCTGGTATGTCCATGGAATCTTGTCTGGCATGGTCTCCTACAATGCAAAAAAATAGGACAAACAAGATAAAAAGATAACAGAACAAATTGTGATAGTAAAGAATGTTTAAAAAATCAGATAGATAGATACGAACCATTTATTTGGTAATATTTTGAATTATGAGTCCATCTAAAACCAGTACAAAGGCCAAAATCTGTCAATTTTAAATGGCCATTTGAATCAATTAAAATATTGTCTGGTTTGATATCTCGATGGATAAAGCCCATTTTATGAACACTTTCCACAGCACATGTAAGCTCAGCGATATAAAATCGAGCAAGTGATTCTTTGAACACTCCATATTTACACAAGAGTGACATCAAATCTCCACCAGCTACATAATCCATGACAAAGTAAAGATTATCCTTGTCCTAAAATAGAAGGAAAAACACAAAAGATCAGAAATTATACACAAATTGACCAACAGCTTCAGTAAATTCTTTAAGAGTTACTTTTGCTTAGAAGACAGTAGATATTAAAGGGCAACCTAAATCAAACCATCACAATCTTACCTGAAAAGAGTAATATAGTTTCACAACCCATTCGTTGTCGGCCTCTGCTAGAATATCACGCTCAGCTTTTACATGAGCAACTTGATTTCTCTTCAAGACATCAGCTTTACGTAAAGTCTTCATAGCATACAAATGTTTGGAGTCAACTTTCTTGACAAGGGTGACTTCTCCAAATGCCCCTACCCCTATGGTCTGTAAAAGATACACATTGATCAGAAACAGTCTCAGTGAAACAAGTAGAGAAATATAAGTAGATTAAAAGACTAACCTTAATTTTAGTAAACATGGATTTGTCCATTTTTGCTCTTCTCATTCGAATGTAATTTGACTCCCTTTTTGACAGCATCTTCCGCATGTGAAACTGAGCATCACGACTAAGATCTGCTTTCTTCATCTCATTCTCCAGTTGCCTTATTCTGAAGAGTCGAGCCTGACTTGATTTGAATAGATTTTCTATGTGCTGCTCCATATAAAACTTGAAGGCTTGCGGCGAGTAGTTCCGCACCCTGCTATCTCTGCGTTCTTCTTCTTTTTCTTTACTGAAGTGCTTTCTTTCCGGAATGGGGGATTGGTGTTTAACTTTATGATGAGGAGCAGGTGGACATCCACTTGAGGAAGGGTTCGGAGCGGGTCTCCGGTCCCCATTCTGCATGCCGTGGCACTTGTTGGCCACCGACGAGGAGGCAGTGGGTGGCAGGGGTGGGCAGGGCGCAGATGCGTGGTCGCCGTTAGTCAGCCTGGGGCCGTCCGTCGTGTCGCCGTCCTGACAGGCCCCCGGCACCACGGCCGAGTACTTGCGCTGCATGACGGCGCAGGCGGGCGAGGCGCGGGACTGCACGGTCTGCATGCCGGGGCTGGGGGGCAGGGCGGGCGGCCGCACCGCCACGCCACGCTGCACGGCGAGCACCTGCATGGTGGACGCGTAGCTGGGAGGCTCGGTGGTGGGCACCGTCACGGGCGAGGCGCTCGGGGCGGGCGAGGGCGCTGGGGCAGGAGACGGGGCCGCCGAGGGGGAGGGTACTGGCGGCGGCGCCGGGGGCTTGGTGCAGTGCTGCTTGTGCTGGATGGAGGAGGCGTACGAGGGTGGTGGTGGCTGGGGCCCCGAGGAAGACTGCTGCTGCTGCTGCTGCTGCGCGGGCGCCCCGGGGCTGGAGGCGGGCGTGGGGGCGGTGGCCGTCTGGGGTTGGGCGGGCGCCGTGGCAGTCTGCAGGATGGGCTTCTGCACCTGCGTACTCTTGACGCTCTGCATGATGATGGGCGGCTGCGTCTTGGCCTGCCGCGCGCCCCACGCCAGCATGGGGGTGGGGCGCGCCACGGACGGCGGCGTGACGGCGCCGTTCATCCCGCAGGGCGTCACCGTCACGGGGCTGGGCGAGCCCGCGGAGGTCGGCCCCGAGTAGATGCCCGACGACGGGCTCTTGCGGTAGTCCTGCGTGGGGCTCTGCCGGCTCTGGATGGACGCCGAGTAGCTGGGCGGCGCGGGGGTCATGGTGGGGCCTGGCGACGGCGGCACCAGCGGGTACGGCGGCGGCGGCTCCGTCTGGTACAGCGCCTGCATCTGCTGCGACAGCTGCTGCTGCACCTGCGGCCCGTTCTGCAGGATCATGGGCTGCCGGCCCTGGCCCAGGCCCTGGCCGCCTCCGCTGGGGCTCGTGCCCCGCTGGGGCGGCGGGGGCAACACGGGCATGGTGGGCAGCCCGGAGCCACCCTGTGGCGGGGGCGCGGCGGGCGACCGCGTGGGCACCTGGGGGGCAGAGGGGCAAGGGTTAGTAACACTGGCACTGGTCGGACCGGGCCGGGCCGGCCGGGCGGCAGACAATGGACGCCACTGTGCGACCCGTCGACACGTCATCGCGGCCGAGAACAGGTCGCCCGGGCCCGAGCGGACTGCAGGCTGACTCATCCGGCCGGAGTACTCACCACAGGGGCGGGCGACATGCGCTTCAGGAGCTGCTGCACGTTGCTGGGGTAGGGGGCGTGATGGGGTGGCGGCGGTGGCGGGGGCGTCGACCCGCTCCGCGGCGGGGGCGGCGGCGGCGGGCTGTACTGCCGCGGGCCGAGGCTGGGGCCGAGGCTGGGCCCCAGCCCGGGCACCCCCATGCTCAGGTCCATGAGGCGGGGGCTGTCGGACCGCGAGCTGCCGGCCCCGCTGTCCGCCTCCCGCTCCAGGCTGGGCTTGCGCATCAGCTTGAGGCCGTTGAGCCCCTTGCCGTGCCCGGACCCGTGGCCCGAGCCGTGTCCATTCACCGCGTCCAGCGCGCCCTGCTTGAGCTGCAACAGAGAAATATAACACGTTAGGTCAGAGAGTCTCAGGGAATCTTCCTGGAGAGTAGTTTTTGTTGTTGTTTTTTTTCATCCCTTTTAATCCCAATAGCTTCATTTTTTTCAATTTTTCTGGACATATTTTTTACGTGTCGTACAACCTTTTTTACGTGGGGGAAAGTTCAATTGTACCCAGGAAAAATTCGGAACTCTTCGTCAGAGCGAG